ATCAGGAGGGAGTTAAGGGGGGTCAAACAAAAAGCCTACATGAAAAATATCACAACCACTGATGCGGTTACATAGGCAGTTGCAAAAGCCGACTTCTACACCGAAAGAGGGTGACAAGTTAAATTGCCCATTCTACAGAAAGGGATAGGTGTGGTGTGTAGTGGAAAAGGGTGTTTTCAGCAAGTATGGCTGCCCTAGACTGTGAGCTGGACCCTGCTGCAAGCAGATACTATCCTCATGCCTGGGGGCACAGGGTGTCCAGGCTCCTGTGATGAAAGCCGGCAGAAGTGCTGTGTAAAAAACCTTACTGTTTGAAACCCAGATCCTGAAATGCAGTGCATTTATTGGCAGATAGAGGCTGTTGATGGGGGTGGGGAGGAGTTGTTTACTGGTTGTTGCAAGCGTTGCTCAACTGCACCTCCATAGCACCATGGCTCTTGGTTACCCCACTAGAAACTGTCCAACTCATAGCTCCTCCTGCAAAGGAAAGCATGGGCCTGCCACTTGAAAGGAGTGACAGATATAAAAAGGATCTCAGTGGGTGCATCTTTACCCAGAGACTGTGAAGCTGATGCTAGGTACAGATCTTTACAGTTCTATACCATCATAAGTGCAAGAGCAATCAAATGGCCAGGCACCACCAGGGTTGAAGTATGAGCATCACTGTGAAAAAAACACATAGAGAAGGAGGTTTGCAGGCACGTGAGAAAGGAGAGGAGAAACCTGCAAGAACAATCTTTTATGCTTGCAACTAGTGGATTAAACTTTGGAATAAGCAAGGACACTTGCAATTATGAGTATCTTTTATTGTTAATTACTGCTATTTATGTTGGCATTTATAAAGTGGCATGCATGATTATTTCATATACTGAACCTTGCTCAGTTGAATGTGTAATCTTTAGCTCCCTATGTGTTTAAGACTTATTTTTACACACAGAGATATGTTTCTGTATCTGCTGTAACTCACCAGTCAAAACATGATATACATGACTTGGGTACCGCTCTTTCCATTTTAATTGACACCCCACCCAGTAACTAGTCATGTTTGACTGCTTTTTCAGATTAAAAACTAAAAAGGAAGAGTTATGTGGAATTTACTTGCAAATTCTCTTTGTTGAGCCCTGTCACTTTAGTGACAGCCCTCCCTGAATTCCCCCTCATTCGGGTTTGAAAAGTGGTTGTAACCCTTTCAAGCCTGGACACATTTTCTTTGGTTCATTTTCCTGTTTGCCTTCACATTCAGAGGCAGATCTTCAAAGGGCATTATTAACAAAATTAAATCCAGACTATTTCCAATTGCACTCAAACACAAAGATGCCTTAAATCCCTGAACAGCAGAGAATACCCTGCAGGAGGGCTTCCGATATTCCAGAGGACAGGTTAAAGCTTAAAACAAACAGCACAGCAACTTTTTTCCTGTCGTACGTTGAAGCTGATTTTCCTTCCATGAGCATAAAAGTCTAAATTTTATTAAATAATCCAGTGGGCAACCTGCACCACTATAAACACAGATGGTCTTCAGTCACGCTGACCAAAGCAGGTTTCTAGGAGAGCTTAGTTAACACTGCCTGTACCAGCTTCTACCCAAACTGGTACCAGGATGTGTCCCTGTCCAGAGCCTCCTACATGACACATGCCCTGAGACTTAGCAAACTGAGTGAGCAGAAGTGAAATAGGACACCAGGAATGGTTGAGGATAGCAGCAAAGGTGTCATGTCACCACCATGGTGACTTTGAGTCATCTGATATGAATATTTGTCCTCCTTTTATGATATATTTTATTTTGTAGCACTGAACTCACATATTGGAGTGAGTGCCTGTTTTTCCTTGATCCTACCACTTGTACCACTTGTATCCAGGTTGAAATGCTAACCTTGGCACACATAGCTAAACCAGTGTATCTAAAGGTACAGTGCAGCAAAACCTTAATTTTTAAGTTGACTGAAATTCAAAATGCTTCAGTAAAGTAATAATAAAAAAAGAGTTAAAATATAAGGAAGAGCAAAACAGATGCAGATAGAAGAGAGCAGAAGCAGTATGGAACTTGGCTCAGCGTTTGAACACTCCTTTGTTCGGCATATGCCTTTTTCCACGTTACTCCTGCTTACTGTAGCCAGTAAAGGGCTGCCCTTTCTCACATGGTATTTTTGCTGGGTTAACCCTTTGAATTTAGTACGTCAGGCATAAGAAGCCATTTCGTGCCTGGCAACTGCAGAATGTGTTCCCCTGTGTGCCAGTGGATGCGTTCTTACACCATTTTCTCCATGTTTTCTCCACTCTATATTAGCGCTGAGGCAACGTCACACATGTAAAATGGCCATGCATGTTATGCTGTACATCTTTAAGGCTCTGTATGAACATTACCTAATTAGTCAGTAAGGAAAAGAGCTGTGAGAAGGCTGTTTCAAGGAGCAGAAGCTGCAGGGGATACAGCTTGAACACCAGCTGCGGTCTGAATGTGTAAAGGCCCAGAGGACGGGAAGGGAAGCAAACAGGCTGAAAGGCTGGAGCAAGCCTGCGAGAGGGCTCCAAAAATACAAAGAGATTTAACATGTTAAGACCGGCTGCAGCTCACATAGGTACAATTAAGATATTAAGAATGGACTGTCAAGCTCGACTGTTAGCCTTTAGCATGAGAGGAGATTATATTATAGCATAAATGCTACCCAAGCCTTAATTACAGTGAATCAATGCTCTGACATACCACTTTAGGAAAACTAAAGGTCCCATGGTAAAAAGAGGTTTCTACATTTCCTTTAACTTTGCTCCAGAATACTGAGAGCTCCAGTGAAAAACTGAGCCCTTTGGTTTCCTATTCTTAGTTTTCTTGGACAATAAATATTTTTCCTTAGAAACTAAGGATAATCTGGTAACTAAAACGTGGGTCTGGCATTCAAGGTCCCAGGCTGTATTCCCAGCTAACACACAAGGTCCACTGACAACCCAGCACCAGTACTTTCCCTGTTCTCTCAATTCTGCTTACTCAAGGTGTGAGTTTTGTGGCTGTCTTCTTTGGAAGAAAGTCTGCAAGAGTTTAGAGTGAATGAGCGCTCTTGGCAATACACATGGGAATAAAACTATATGTCTATTGAGAAGGTAAATGTGGTTGGCATGGTAGGACTTCACTTTAAAAATCAGGCACATCATAGCTGGAGTGAGAAACTGAGAGTGTGCTTGATGCCAGGAAGTCATCCAGCATCACTACGGTTTGACAGAAGCTGGTGCCTATTTGAGAGCAGTGTTTTTCCCGGCGTCTAACATGGCTGTTGCAATGGAGGCTTACGCACACCTCTGTCATGAAAAACACCTGGGTTAGGGATAACTAAATACAACACCTCAAGGGCCCAGCTACAGGCTGAGATGGACCCGTCACTCACACCATAACTTTTCCTCCTGCCCAGACAAAAGAGCACCGTTGAAAGCCCTTTCCTATGGGGTGAGGAGAGCAGTGAGATATGAGCATAATCCTCCAAGTGTGTTCAGCTGCCTTCCTGGGTCTTTAGGGGAAGCCCCTAGCTGAGGGAGCGGGCTAGCTTGTGTCAGTGACAGATAAAGGATTTTTTAAAGACAGAGCATTGGAGAAGAAAAAGAAGGAAGAAGAAAAAAGAAAGGGGGGGGGGGAGAGAGAGCGCAAGGGATATTTACAAGTGTGGGAAATGGAAGCTTTATCGGGAGATAAGGAGCTGGGCTGGCCCGTCTCTACGCAGCGTGGACACACTCGCTGCCTCTGAGTCTCTCAGGAAAGAGCAAAAGGAGCTGCTGACATTTCTGCTGAAAAGGAAGAATCAATGAATCTTTGTTTCCCAACGCCTGCTTGTTTGACCTTATTGTGTTGTGGAGTAGAAAAGGAAGAAAAGAGAACGGGTGAGGGGAGAGGGGTTTTGTGCTAATAAAATCCAAGACAAGATCACAGCCCTCTGATCGCTGGAGATGCCATTATTTGGTTGTTGTCCTGTTTGCCGCTGTTGCTCATTTCTGATTCTTGCCTCGCTGTAATAAGTCACACTCTTTCCAGCCATCATCCCTGTATTGACAGGCAAATGTCACCCGCGTTTGATTGACGTCCATTGCTCCTGAATACAGAAGTATGATTTAGGAATCAATTCTGTTTGTTTATTTAAACAGCTCCTTGTGTACCTTGTATATCTGTAAGCAGGACAAGTTCCTTAGTATTTTCTCAGGAGAAATGCCACTAATACTGCACATTCACCTTCCCACTCAGTCACGGAGGTGCTCATCACCCCTTGGGGGAGGAGAAACCTTTCATACACAAATAGAAAAATTAAAAAGATCGAGATTTTTATTTATTTATATAATTTTTTTTTAAAGGAAGAAAAATCAGGACTTAACAAAACGCTTTGCTGCCCCCGGGTTAAGCCAGACAGATGTTTTTCTTAGGTCCAGGCATCTGTTGATCTGCATATGACTGCACTTGCCTTTGGCTTGTACACAAAAGGCAACTCTTTCCCCCGATGTCAGTTTGTTAGCGAAGCGGTGACTGGCTTTAACACCGGGAAAGCACGGCAGCCGGTGATGAGTACCGTCAATTCCAATTCACAGGATGCACCGCTTCCTTCTCTGCCTTCATGGTTGTAATCGGGGAAGGGGGAGAAGAGGGAGATCCGAAGTTGTGAGAGATGCTAATCTCTGTTACTGTGCGAGGTGGGAGGTTTATGTTCAATGGGCAACTGTAAAGCGTCCCTATATTTAAAGCAGTATTTCCCAGAAAACACTAATATGGCAGGTCAGCCTCAGGGAAGCGTTAAGCAGGAGGTGGATTGACCTTTTAATTCTCAATCGGTGACCTGAAGGGTACCCAGAGGCTGCTGAACACATCTCTTCTTTTCGGTCTGCTCCAGAAAGAGCTGTCATCGCAAGATGCAGCTAGTGAGTGAGGCTCACGATTTCACTGTTCATCCGTTTGCGGGAGGGGAGGGGGAGGGAGAGAGGTGTGGGGGGGGAAATACATATTTCCCACACTGCCAGAGTAATGCCAAACTCTCTGTGAGTGGGAAGAGCAGAGCAGATGCTGGAATGAGATGCCAAAGCAGCTCCCCTTTCCCCTGCGCTTTTGGGTGCCTATAAATTGCTCCAGCGCGCTCGTCAGCCTCCTCGTCTCCTGGCAGGTGGCACCCGGGCAGGATCCCGCTCTCTCTCGGCTCCGGCTCCGGCTCCGGCGCGGCGGTGCGGTTCGGGCTCTCGGCGGCGGGCAGCGGGGCGGCCGGGAGGCGCGTCCCCGCGGAGGACTGCCGTCTGTGCGAGGGGAGGAAACAGAGGAGAGAGCGAGCAAGCGAGGAGGCGAGCGGGGCGATCGCGAGAGGAGAGGCAAGTTCCAGGGAAAGTTGACTCAGACTGGCACAGCCTGCAAAAAAAAAAGTCGATCGCCAGCAGGAGCATAAAAGTGCGGGCGGCCGGGGCGCGGCGGCAGCGCTCCCTCCCCTCCGCTGCTCTCCTCTGCTCTCCCTCCCGCCCCGCGGCCGCAGCGGAGCCGCGACCCGCTGAAGTCCCCGCCGCCACCGGCAGCGGGAGGGCGACGAAGCCCCAGGGGAGCCGAGCTCGGGCGGGCTCGGCGGTTTTTCGGCTCTGAGGAGGTCCCCCGCCAACCATCAAGATTTTGTCCAAAAGCAGGCAAGAGGATCGCCCTGCGCTGAGCCGGCTGGTGGGCAGCAGGCGGCGGCTGATCGCGGCCGGCGCGCTGGGGGTGGTGATGGTGCTGCTGCTGGTCATCCTCATCCCGGTGCTGGTCAGCTCCGCCGGCACCTCGGCGCACTACGAGATGCTGGGCACCTGCCGCATGGTCTGCGACCCCTACGGCGGCACCAAGGCGCCCAGCACGGCGGCCACGCCCGACCGCGGCCTCATGCAGTCCCTGCCCACCTTCATCCAGGGGCCCAAGGGGGAGGCCGGACGGCCGGGCAAAGCGGGGCCCCGCGGGCCCCCGGGGGAGCCGGGGCCGCCCGGCCCGGTGGGGCCGCCGGGTGAGAAGGGCGAGCCGGGGCGGCAGGGTCTGCCCGGTCCCCCCGGCGCACCGGGGCTGAACGCGGCTGGGGCCATCAGCGCCGCCACCTATAGTACCGTGCCCAAGATCGCCTTCTACGCCGGCCTCAAGCGGCAGCACGAGGGCTACGAGGTGCTCAAGTTCGACGACGTGGTCACCAACCTGGGCAACCACTACGACCCCACCACCGGCAAGTTCACCTGCTCCATTCCCGGCATCTACTTCTTCACCTACCATGTGCTCATGCGGGGCGGCGACGGCACCAGCATGTGGGCCGACCTCTGCAAGAACAACCAGGTGGGCACCTCGACGGGGGACGTCGCGGGGAGCAGGGGAGACCGGAAGGGAGCCGGGTGTGCTCAGGGCAGCCGGGTACCGTGAGGGGAGCAGGCACCCGTGGGGAGACTGGGTCTCTGAGGAGGCGGGCACAAGGAAGTGCGTTGGGGTAGTTTGGGCGTTGGAACTAAGTGATCTGCAGGTCCTGATCGTTCTGTCGGTCGGCACCCGAGAGAGAAAGCCGGGCTCCCTGAGGGGGTGGGCGCCGTGAGGGCAACGGGCGGGGAAGGACGAAAACCCCTGGGGGAGTTGAGGGGAGCGGACGCTCGTTGCTCCGCAGCAGACGGGGCCCTGCCGGCTCCGCCTCGGGTGCTCCGCCGGCCCGCGGGGTGAATGCGGACTCAGAGCATTCTTTTCCCCGAGAGTCCCTCCGCTGGCTCCCGCTCCCAGCCCTCTGTCCGAGCCCGCCCGCGGGCAGAGCAGCACCTGGACGCCGGCCGCTTCCCTCGTCCGGTGCTCAGTGTCGGCCGCGCTAGCCGCAGCATGCCGGTCCGGGAGCGGAGGGCATCCGGGGCGGCTGCTCCCGCGGGGGGGAGCGGGACAGGGGGTCCCCCAGGGAGCGGAATCTCGCTGAGAAAGAGCAGGAGCCGGGGGAGGCGGTGAGCTCAGAGGGGTGATCCTGCGTAGGGAAGGGTGAGATGTGAGCGAGGGAAACACCCACGGGACGGGGCTCCCACGCCCGATTTGGACACGCTCAGACCCTGCTGGGAGCGAAGCCTCCCTCTGCCAGGGAAAGCCGGTAGCAGTGAGAGCACGGTGCCCGCAGACCTCTCCCGGCGGCGGGCCGGCAAACAGCCACTGCCCGAGGTCTCCCAGCATCCCCGACAGGAGGGAAGCGTTCAGAATAATTAAAGACTCAGCCGTGCTAGCTCTGAGAGACAGAGGAGTCATCCATTTTAATTAGGGTAAAGGTTGGCACCGCGCTCGCAGGGGCCGTGACTGTCACATCGCCCCCGAGGAGCGTACTTCGCAATTTTGCCTTTCTTCCGTGCGCTGCTCGCAGACAGAGAGCTTGGCTCTAATTATGGGAGCGCTCCGCGATACCGCCATGCCTCCTGCCTTGGGTGCCGAGGGCAGCACGGGGTTCCCCGCGTCTCCGGGGGCCCCGTGGTGCTCTCCCCGGCCTCCACTGCGGAGGGAGGGTGAGGGACCCGCCGTTCAACAGGTCCTTCCCCGCCAGGGCTGTACCGGCCCGCAGCGGGTTGCCGCCTGCCGGCTCTCCCTGTTTGGGGTACCCGGCGCTCTGCCCGGGCTGTTCACCTCCGGCGGGCTGGGCTAGGGGTTGATCCGGTGTCCCCGCCGTGTCCGTTCGCTCGTCCGTGCGCCCCGTCCCTGCAGAGCATCGCAGATCAGCGGAGCCCTCAGCCCCCCGGCCCTTGGCGCTCGGCGCAAGCGGGAGCGGCGGCGGCCCGTTAATTCATTTAATAGAGCGCTTAACCTTCTGTTTATGGCCCCTCAGAAGTACCAAGGAACCAGAATAACGAGGCCATCAGCAGCAATTAATTAAATTAGAAAATGTCCACCATAAATACTACCACAACAGATAGAGCAGGACTAGCAAAGCGAAGTACATCGCTACACACTTGCTTTGATTTCTTCAGGCGAAGGTAGTATTTTCCACAGCGAGGATACCATTTTATTGGCATTAAAACATTCTTCTGGTTTTGACCCCCATTTATAATGTTTTAAAGTGTTTATTTACCCAAACCCTGAACAAAATACACACCAGCACGTTTAAAAAATACTCAATTATAGCTATTGCAATGAATATGAAGTCTAATCGTTCCCAAATGTAACTGCTTCCAGTACCAGCCATGAGAAAATTTAATGTCGCAGCGGTTCAAAGGGGGGGGGGGGGAGACAAGAAAGGGGAGGGGTTCTATGTATATATTTGTATCTATCTATGCAAAGGTAAGTGTTTAGGTAAATACAAACTATTTAAAATTGATACACAGTTTTAATGGAGCAGTGCCTCCTTTTGATGATGATTTATGCTTGAAACACTAAACGCTGATGTGACAGCGGTTAATTTTGAGTATTATTTGTGAGAAAGCTCAGCCATTTTGGAAGGAAGCCGTTAAATGGGAGTCTGACAAAGGTCACATTATAAATCCGGTGTTTTCTAACAATGAAAAGACCAAAACGCTGAAAAGCGCATGACTTACAGCGGGAACAGATTATCCCTAAGCAGTGCACAGGTGGAACCTCAAGGTCTCTGCTGTTAACACATTGCCTTCTTTAATGGTTATGAAGCTTGATCTCAGCTTTAAGGTAAACTGAGATCACACAGCTTACCTTAGATCACACTGTTTAGTATGTGTGTGCAACCTGAGAGCATAGCTTCATGAGAGAACTTGCACGCAACTTCTGAAATGTATAGCCCATTAGCGGTTTCATTTTGAGATACATTTACCGTTTTGCAGCAGTCAGTACACTGAGAATTCATTTGAGGCTGTTCTCCTAGCCTGTGCTCTGGCTGACCAAACAAGCAGGTAAAACCTCCAAGAATAGCACAGTAGAGTATAGGGGGCATTTATTGCTATGCAGAGGGCAGGAAGATTGGCACTTTGGTTTCTAGACTTTCAATACTGTCTTTTTTCCTTTTTCTCTTAAGCCAGTATGTACTGTATGTAGAATCTTAACAATTAAATATTCATTGCTGTTGTAGTCAGTGACCATATGTTGTCACCATACCCTTAAGATAGTCACTAATGCAATTGGAAATCACCTTTACCATTCACAGAAGCACAACATTTTAGACAAATCCACAGAAGTAGCACTTCATTACCATGTAAATGGGAATCTGGAATGTACTTTTAACCATTTTGTTTGCCAGTATGCAAGACACTAGCTCTCTATGAAAGTTTTCCTACCTCACCTGTAGCCTTTTCTCTCCTTCCCATTCCTCCCTCTGTTTACACCCTCACCTTCCCAGCGACTGTCTCAGCACTTTATTTCCTTTGGAGGGTATTTCCAGGGTTAATGGCCCACAGACTTCAACCACCCTGCCTGTCATTAATCCAGAGGACATACCCAGTGCTTAGAATAATTATTGCTTAAACACCAGAAAAATAGCTTGTCTCTGTAAACAATCCCAGACTGTTCAGGACCAAGAAATCCTGAAATAGTTGGGGTTTATCATCCTGCCGTGTATCAGTTTAAATTTGCATCCTGTCACACCCCTGCAAGCCTTGTAAGCCTTTCTTCCTCTCCTTACAGGATGTATAAAGAATTTCCACTTTCTGTGATTTTTTTCAGCTGCATAATGCTATAAGAACCCGTGTGGTAAAAGAACGTTTCAGTATTAATGTGAAATCCTATCACATGAAAATTTAATTTGGAAATGTATCATTTAAACTTTGAAAGGAATCCATTGAAAATTGTGAGTTATAGCCTATTTTTTCAACTCAGAACAGATAAAATTCCACATATAGTACACCAAGTCATGCATTATTACTTAGTTCAGGTTTGCAGGACCACTAAATCACTTACTGCTCTTTAACTATGCTAGAACAAAGCCAAGCAGATGATGTGTTACACTGAAATAAATCACATACAACTAAGTTTAAATATTTTACTGAACAGGGTCAAATTATATATAAATGATTTGGAGATTTGCAATGGCACAGGCTATTCAGTGCTGGAAACCAACATGCATCCTGAAATCCATCACAGATTACTTCCAGTTTGCTAGTAATGTCAAACGTACTCAGCAGCAGAATAGCAAGGGAGGAATGCAGAAAAAAATTAGGTTTAAGTGAAAGTTGCAAATGAAAAGCCCTCAGTGACTTGTATACCCCCAAACCTCCTAGAGCAAAGAGCCACTTTGTGGCTGTGTGATTTTGCACATTTGCATCTCTTAAACCACACCAGAATTAAACGTTTGCTCGCTGAAATGTGGCAATAGCAGTTTCCCCAAACCCTGAGCAGGCTCTTTACCTGCTTTGTGTGCACTGGAGTGTGTGTGCGGTTGGGTGCGGATGTTTTGTATTCTTTTTGCAGCATAATGCCATTAGCAGTACAACAATAAATCGCCTCTGGGAAAAGTCCATCCAGGTATTACCAACAGGGCCTCACTGCGGATCCTCACCAGTGTCAATCACTCATCCCATTCAAAGAAAAGCAGTGCCAATGTAAAACTGGCACATGACCAGATTCAGTTGTCCCAACTCCAGCTGTTACTCCATATGTATTTAAAAAGGCTCCAAACATCTACAGGAGTGCAGGTGGTGGTTGTGTACTAATAAGATGACTGAGAAAGGATAGTTCTTAGTTACTGCTTTCATTTCAGAGGTTGTACTATAGGAGAAAATAAGCAATAACCATAGGAAAGAACTACAGTATATGTTGCCAGGCATTTAATGTGGCAACTTGTGCATGCTGAACAAAACATTGAGGATATGCTTTAATTTCACCATGCAGGAAGAATTATCTGAGTTTTCTTAACCACTCATTATGTATTTTATGTAGGTTCGAGCTAGTGCGATTGCTCAGGATGCTGATCAGAACTACGACTATGCCAGTAACAGCGTGGTTCTTCATTTGGAGCCAGGAGATGAAGTTTACATTAAATTAGATGGAGGAAAAGCACATGGAGGAAACAACAACAAATACAGCACATTTTCTGGATTTATTATTTATGCTGACTGATAATGAGTAAAACAGACCCACCAAACCAGTCCAAAAATGAAGCTTGCTCTTCTAAGCAATGGATTTGCGTGGCAAAAGTCAATGAAACAAGCACCCCAGCAGAGAGCGACCATCGAGCACCTCAGTAGCAGGGGGGAAAAGTCGAACGCTACCTGATTCACATCTGTACAACACAGAGAAACCTTATGTTAAAAAATTGCAAAACAAGTTAAACAGATGTGCGATCCAGTACCGCCAAAGCAAATACTTCCTCATTGTCAGTGTCCATGTGAATGAAGTCCTACATAGAGCAAATTTTTATAGAAACATAAAACACCACCTAAGGACGCTGAGGTATTTTTTCAATGTGTATGATACTTTGATGTGTTATGATCTTGCTGCTTTATCCATACTTCAGCTTCGGTTCTTGTGACTTACTTGCTAACAATGATGCTTGGAGTCCACTCATAGTGTGATGAGGAATGATTTTCCAATAAAAGGAAGGGGTAATCAAAATATACTTTCTCTCTCCAAAGGAATTGTTTGACTTGTACTTTTCTTATCCTTCTACATAAAACTAGAAACTAATCAGCTTCAAGCCTTAACTCAATGTTCCTGCTTTGTAGGTTTACATTAGACTTTTGACATCAAATCAACCCAGTGGAGTTGTTTAAATTTTGTTTTCCCCTTAGCTGTGTTCTAAAGGAAAAGGGATAGAAGAAACACTTTTCTTTTTCTTACTTCCTGAAAAATATAGCTATATAAAATAGAATATAAACTATTCTATTGGACCAAATCCCTGATTCCACCAAAGCCAATGGCAAAACTCCCATTGATATTAGTGGAAAAAAAAAGACGATTTGGCCTTTAAATTGTAAACATGTAAATATATGAATTTAGACAATTCTTACAGGCCCATACTAGACGGTTAGTTGTGTAAATATTTAGCAAGGCTGGCATCCACATCCTCAGACTAAGGTAGTGTTTTCTTTGCAGCAATTAGTTGTCATTAGTCCTTTAGCGCTTAGTCTGTACTTGGGTACAATTTTTAATAAAATAGTGATGACTTAACATACTGCAGATGTTCAACTAGAATTTCATAGGAGTATAATGGGTCAAAACATTACTCGTCTTAGGTGTCTTGTCTCACTGATGTTAGTGGGCTTATTCCTACAAAGGAAGAATGGGAGATCTGACACGTGAGAGAATGCTGTCACACTGACCTTTTCCATGGTAGCTAGTTACTGGTTTGTAGTAAGGTGTGCCTATGAAATGGACACAAATAAGCATATTACCAAAAATGATAACACATATGCAAAGAAAGAAGCAGATATTTACATGCAAAAAAAAAAAGAAGTGTGTATTAAAACCTATTTTTCTCATTCATATATATATAGATAGATATATATAAAGTCTCAAAGAAGTTTAATCCATAGAAAGGATTAATGGCTTGGAGAATTAAACTAAACACAGGCATTATGAGTTGCATAGTTATAAAAATGCTTTAAAATCAGTTAATACCAGTAATGTCCATAGAGTATTTTTATTCAGAAAATGGATTTATTATTTGGTTTGGTTTGGGGAGGGGAGGCTGTCTGTTTCTCTCAGGTTAAAACTTGCAGATCTCATTCTAAACCTAAATTATAGCAGGATAATTAATTAGCTCCTTAGCACAGTTGGTTATATTGCTTAACGTTTTGGCAAAATGAAGGTACCATTTTCATAACTTCTTAAAGAGTAATAGAAGCTACCCCTAGCGTTTCTGTTTCATGTACTTTGCCACAAGCAACCTTGTCTAATTACTAAGGGTACAGACTTAGATTTATCTGTACTAAGATGCTGAATGTGTCTGCCACTGTGACAAAAAAGCTCTTTGATGCTGGCTGCTCAGTAAAAGGTTTTATGAATCTGTCAGAAAATTTCTTGTTTGAACGAGTTAAATTTATTTTAAACAGAAAGTGTTACTCTGTTTTGACTTGTCCACTTCAAAACAAGTATTGAGTTAGTCTAGGCTGACAGATCCAGTTTAATTCAGCTAGGATTTATAAAGGGACATTGTGCTGCCAATTGCTTGTGTATTATCTCACCAGGCTGGTAACACTTTTACTTTATGACAAAGTGCCAACCTATACCCTTACACTGCAGTGATTACTCCTGGGCTGGTTTTTTTCCTACAAGGTAATGTATTTTATTAACAGATGTGTAATAGACTTCAGGTCTGTTCGCTCCATGGTTGCTTTCATTGGTTAGCACACTCACAACAGCAGTGTAGCCAGAGATTCTCTACAGAGTATTCAACAGTAACGTAGCAGGCTAGAGATCATTTACAATTTGCAATGTGCATTTACTAAGGTATTTATTGGAAAAGCGTAGTACTACCAGATGATAAGGTCCAAGTTGAAGAAGTTTTTGAAATCAGGCTACCACTGCCACTGGATAAGACCATTTTTTGGATAAATCACCTGCCCTGGTTAAAGTTAGACAAGAGCAAAGAACACACTTTATGTGAAAAACACATAGAAAGCAAACATTTCTTCCTTTTTCATCATATCTTGATATACTGATTTGTAAAGACTTATATCACAACCTTTGTTATAACTATTACAACTCATTAAAACTGTATTATGTAATACATTTTGACTTTTGGTGTTGCCTCCTTACAAAAAAGAAGCTGGTCTGCATCAAGTTTCACATGATCGCTGTGAGATCCCAAAAGTTCAGGATAAAAAATTGATTCAATTAAAAGAAGACGTCCACAATAACATACATAGCTTAAGAAGTCATCAAATTGCTTTATTAAAAATATATTTTCCAAGTAATTTTTGCACTCTCAGTTAAAAATAAGTTGATAAACTACAAAGAAACAATCTCATTTTAGAATTACTGGAGATTCTTTTTCCCTTCTGTTGTCTGTGGAAGCTATATAAAAGTCACAGACCTCTTAGCAAGCATTATTTAAAGAATATAAGGATAATTAGAACATTGTCAATATTACAAGGATTAAAATCACCCCCTGGAGAAGGAGAATTTAATTGAAAACTCTAATTTCCTTTGAAGTCCAGATGATGCATCTTCAATAATACTTTGGGTAACATTTAATAGTAGTATTAGATTACCCTGTAGAAACAATCATTTTAACATTTCAATAGAAAAGATTTTGCAGGTAGGCTCATATCCAGTAAATTATTTCTGGGCAGACTTCTAAAAGGGAGAAAATGCAGAGAGGATATATATTAGTTTATTTTTCTCATTAAAGAGAAAAATCATAATCAGTTTGTTCACATCTAACTAGTAACTTCCAGCTTCTCTGAAAAGAACCATGTTTTAAAATGACTGCTCTCCTGAAACAAACATGAATTTTATCAAGATTCCTTATAAAATAGGCATGTTTATTCATTATTCTTACTTAAAAGTCAGCCACCGCTTTGGATTTGCTAGGAGTATTTTATCAATTTTGTCTTGGGATATGCCTCTAATCAGCATTTTAGGAATTATATTTTTAAGGATATGTGAATATCCATGGCCTCCATATTTCATCAACCTATTCTTAGTATGCACATCATGAGCAATCAGAATTCTGTCTTCATAGCCTTCATTGACCAGCATACGAATCCTGCAAAAGTAAAAAGCATACCTGTCAGTAAAAGGCTCCCAGTGCAACAGCATAGAACTGAGCAGGATTTACTCTTTTTCCTCATTGCTGGACTGTATAATAATGGAAATACTTATTTTCAGCTACTCAGAAGACATATTCCTTATATGCAATTAAAATAAACCACGTAATTTATTGAATGAAAAACCCCCAAACACCTCTGAAAACATACCACCACATCACAAAATGGAGAAGGGAAACACTTTGCAGTTGGTCCATGACTTTGCATTCCCAGCCCCATTAAGTCCATGGAGGAATGTCATGAAGAGCGGGACATGGGTTTTACATACACGAGTAAGTATTAATTTGCTACATAAACTCCTTCTCTGCAGGTTAGTTATTGCTGCTCTCACAGTGCTAGTCCCATTACATTTGTTAATGACCAGACTCTGTGTGTGACAGGTCCTTTGAGAAGCCCAGCTCAATCACACAAATACTTCCATATCTTTAGTTAATTTCCATTTAGCAAACATTCCATAGACAGTTAACATACAAAAACGTTTCAAAGATGTTTGTTAAGGAAGATAAGACAGGTGTTGCACAGTGCATCTGTCAGGAAATGAGAGGAGTTAGTACAACAGCCCAGCTAAAAACACTTGGCAAAATGACAAATCGGCTTGGAAAAAGAAGTAATCCTTCTGGTCACTGCCTTGTAGCAAGCCCGCCGTAGCAAGCCCTTCTGTTCCACTTTTCACCCCAGTAAACTTAATCCTTTGCTCTGCTCATTCTCTGAAATTTATTCAGTGGGTGTCTAAACTCCTGTTCTGCATGACTGTTACGTTTCCCACTAGGCTTCAGTTTAGTTTGGCAGTAGGTTGCAGCATTTAATGCAGAGATGGACAGACCGGACCTAGGAAGTGCTTGTTCCTCATGAAGGCACCCAACTCTCTATCATTTGCCAGCACTGTGAAATTCTAATTCTTAACTTCCTGACTGTGCTTTGAACAGCAAGAAAGCAAATACCAGTTTTATAAGGAACTACATCATATCTGAAAGCCCTTACTGTCAGGTTTTATTACAATTAGTTATGAGAAGATACATGCAGCAGGATCAAATCAATATGGGCATCAGGAAAAAGGCAAATAAGATAGAACTTGGTAAAATATGAGCATCTTTCAAAAACCCACCATAAGCTGTGCTATTTAGTGCACAGCACTATGTATACTGTTGTATTACAACATCACAAGTATCTTTTCCAGCCTAAAATTCAGGCAGACCACAAGCCAACCTGAGAATAAGAACAATGACAACGGAGTGACTAAGTTCTTTGCTGACCAAACATCTTAGAATCATCTCCCTTCATGTCTGGATGAATTTCAGGGGCTGGGAAGCATATGGTCCTTTACATCCCATACTCATTCTTGCTTTTTGCTCATTATTGTAAGTTTTGTTAGTACTTGCTTCTGACTCAAGGAAAAACTGCCCCTGAAAAAAATCAGTTCTTTTACTTGCATTGACAGTAGGCTGCAGCAAAAAATATGGAAGTACACACATGGCTAAACTGTGTTTGGGTAGGTATGGCATGACTACAGGAGTTTACGTTTTGAATAGACAAGACCCAAATATATATTTTCTCTTCAGTATGTTCATCAACATATTTAAATGTCTATTTGTCTTCCACTTCTCTGGTGCAGTTTGACAAAAAAAAACACAAACCCTAAGGAGATTGCCACTGTCATCCTATATCCAGTGTGGATACATCAAAAACCCAGCAAAACCCATTTAATAGCACATCTAACTCAAATGTGCATACTCACACCATACAATGAAAACACTTTTTGTGTTTTCTTCCTATCAACAGCCTGCTGCAACAGATACTCAAATGCCAGAGAGCTGAAGGAGAGACATCAATGGCTGAGCAAGTATCATGGATGGAATGAAAACTTTGCCATGGTTGAACAAACACTTGCTAACCACGGCGTAGCCCATTCTTCTACACACACTCCTCACAGCCCTGTGCACACGCTGACCTCCCATGGAACAGGAAAGGGGGGGAGGCACAGGGGAGAGGAGCAGCTTTACCCATGCTAAATGTGAAAACAGTGTATTTGGTGCAACAGTTTAAAATACCAAGTGCAAGGCTCAGAGCCCTGTTAAGACAGAGATAGGATTTCTCCTGTGAAAAGCAGCAGCAAACACTTGGCAGTAAGTGGAATAGTAACCACGACACCTTCTTAAGAAGAGAACAGTCTGAAAACAGAGAAGATTAGTTTTGAGGTTAATATGACAATGAGGGGGAAGGAAGCTGTGTCTGAAATGTAAGTGAAAGCTGGAAAGTTACTTAATTAGTGATCAAGGATCACAGAATGTTTCTAATCAAGGAATTCTGAAAGGAAAAAAAGACACAGGCAGGATGGCAGCCCACCCTCAGAAACCTGCCACTTCACTGCACACGAACATTGTGGACAAACAGCAGAGGAGGCTTCCACCTCCAGCGTGGAAGGAGTGAGATGCCCATTCCCAGCTGATCCTACCTTCTCTCTTACAGTTTCTGCAAGGAGTGCATCTCCTTGGCAATACCTTGTGTTAGCACAGCACAACAGATTTGCTGTGCAGCTGAGCTGAGACTGCATGGGCTGACAAGTAGCAGGGAAGAGGTATCCTGCCAGTGGGGCCAATATTTTCACATTGTGAGTGCAAGGAGCATGGGAGTGCTGAGGAGCTGGGAATTACACCTTTCGGAAGAGAGAAAGGGCAAAAGGAGAGGGGAAGGAGGGATGGTAAAGCGCCTGGAAGAAAAAAAAAAAGAGTGGTTTTCAGGATGGAAGCACAAATCTGCCCAGGACAACCAATGGGCTCTGCTGGTTTACTGCATTTGTGAGGAGATGTAACAGGCTCAGATGATGCTTGGCAGCAGCACTAGGTTTCCCATACTGTGTTTCAAATAAAAGCCAAACCTTAACATGAATCCAGTATCTCCAACCTTTTTTACAGACTATATAAATGCAGTAAATGATAAAATTCAACCAGATCAGCACAGAATTAGGACAGAGAATAAAGTGAAAAAAGCTCTTGATCTTCTTCTCAAGTAACTTTCCACAACACTATGATTCCTTCCTTTGCAGACAGAAGAAATCATACATGCCGCTCTAACGACATGCCAGCAGCAGGGGAAAACCGTCATTATTTTAATATGAAAAAAGGCAATTTTGAACAGCAAGCAGAATCACTGTGATGGCCTTAAAACAAGTACCAATAATATTCATTTGTCAATGGCAATGCTATAGCTTAAACCGCATGGAAGCAGATACCTTGTAATTCTGTCATTGTCGCTTGGCATGTCAATCTCAGGATGGAAGTGGTAATGAAGAAATTCTGTACCAAATAGGTCATACTCTAAATAGCACCCAAGGTCAGCAAATTCCAGAAGTTTCTTTTTATCAAATATGGTCCTGAGGAACATATAAAACAAAGTCAGCATTGTAAAGGGAAGAAAAAATCATTATAACAGGAAGAAAAAAGAGGATAGGTATTTTGAGACATCCTACTTCAAGAAACAAAAGCAATAATCTAAGATGTAGTTCACCCTTTTGGAAAACAGGACTCCTGTTTGACACATGCAACTTAAGCTCATACACCTTTCACCTCCATCTGGGACTTCATGCATTAAAACAAAGTAAACCAAAACAAACCCAATTCTTCCCCCATGAAATAATGAAAACATACATGATAATCTTGAAATGGAAACAGGAAAGTTACTTAATTTTGATATCACTAACCCTCTCAATAGACAACCTAGCAAGGAAGGACATTTAAGGAGGAGGTTAATTCATCGAGACATTTAAGCAAGACAACGGATTTGTTACAGAAGACAGATTTACTTTCTCAAAAAAGTTACAGGAGACAGCTACATCCAGGGCTCATTTCATCTATCACACACCAGTAATACACAACTTTGTCTTTAGTTTCTATTCTGTACACTGATGTTTCTAGATTGTCATTAGAACAGCAATATATCATTGTCTGCAATGGGATCTGGCCA